AACGGATCCCTCCGGGATCGCCATCGGGCCACCTCCAAGTCCTGTCTGGCCACGGCGGCTTCCACCTCCAGCGCGGAGCAGGTCTTCGTCCGCCGCGTCCTGCGGAACCGGACGAGGGCATGCGGAGGTCATGGGGGATTTTTGTGGCTTTGACATGGTTTTGACCTTTGAAAATTAGGATTTATTTGATTTATTGATATTTATTGATATTTATTGATATTTATTGATATTTATTGAAGATATTTGATGGGCAAAATTGGGTGAAACCATGTTGGAACATGGTTTCACGGCTGGTCATGTTCAATCCATATCTTCCCATGGTGAAATGCACAGTTTTTGATCAGGACATGTGCACCATACAAGCTGCAACTCACCCGGCTGCCTTCGGGTGGCCCGCTCTAAGGGAGAAGTTTTCTCCAAGGGAGACCTGGCATCCACCATGGACCATAGCAACCCTCCAAATATGTAGAATTGATGGTATTTTATAATAAGTTCTAGTAATAACCATCAATTTATATGAAATTACCATCAATTACTATAAAAATTGATATTAATTACTCATTTACAGCCAATTCTAAGATGGTGATGAACTGCTTTTCGATCTTTTTCTGTGGTTACTTATGGCTACGCACGTGCGATGTTCCCAAGAGCAGTGCTTGACACATAATCAATCTCTAGATCATTGGTGCCTCACGCAAAGCAACGTGGCAGAACCTGGAACCCTCGTGTCACTAAGGTATCTAAGGTCGATTTCAGATTTGTGTTTGGTGAAATCATTTGAAAAGTCCCGTTTTTTTTTAAGGTGCTGCCCCCCCCAAATGTAAGTTGCTTTGAACACCTCTACCATAACCCCAAGTGTTCACCAACTTAGCAATTCCGAACTGTGGCACCACCTTGTACCAATGTGATCAACTCAATGGTTTTTTTGGAATGTGAAAGAACTTCACGATTTAAGGCGAAGACTTTTGAGACGAAGCCAGAAAAAATCCTCATGCTTTTCACGGTGAATCCCAGTAGAATCACTTGGGCAGTTTTGTAGGATTCAACATGAATCACTCTAAGTTTTTAGTACCTATGATTATCACATTGCAGTGATTAACCCTATATAATTGGTAATAATATATATACCACTAAATATAATCATTATAAGTTTTTAACACTACTGTACGTTAATAATCATATAACCAATATAACCTATATATTCAACAAGCCCATGAAAACCTTCATGTATAGTATATACATTGTCCTATGATTTCACATTAAACACCCCAGTAGAATTCCCTACAGTTTCTCCAGTAGAATCGCAACCCCCTCCACCGCGTCGCCACTGGTCTTTTTCCTTCGCTCAGCGGCCCGCGACGCCCGCAGCCGCCATGGTCCGTCGGATGGCGTCCACGGCTTCGACGTCGTTGGTGACAGCGGAGAGCAGGGCGTCTTGCCTCAGTGGGGGCGGGAAAAATCCATGGGAAAACCATAGGAAAACCCATGAAAATCCACTATAAATGGAAGTTTTCATGGGAAAACCGTGGGAAAACCGTGGGACATCTCCTAGAAATGTGAAGAAAACCATAGGAAAACATGGGGATTCAACAGGGATTTCATAGGCGTTTTTCATAGGATTGTAATTGTGATATATAATTATGGATAATTATGGGATTATAATGTGTATATCATGGGATATTAATGGGATGATAATGGGATTCAATGGTGGTTTCGCCACGTCACTACTGTATCGGTTGTTGGGAAACTCAATTCATAGCTCCAACTGGCTCCCTCATGCAAAATAAGGAAGATAGATACCCATACCTCTGAATCGCTCCCCTTGTAAAATAACCATGGGATAGCAATATAACTCTGAAAGTCAAATCTGACTCATCTTGCCCACCGTAGTGATAATCCACAATTAACCCAGGAGCAATTTCTGAGTCATTGGGAATTTTTGGGTCATGGAGATGACTGGAATATGCGGCTATTGTAATGGTTTATTAGCCGCTTACGATTCCTACCAATATACTGGGAATATCACCTACCAATGATGGGGATCTAAAAAGGATACTGTACCATCCATGGGGGCTTAACTTTTTATGGTAGGCTGGATCTCAGATTGGCAAAGAAAGTAGTTTCTCGCTGATAGTCTTCTTGGTCGCTACTTGGGGCGTGCCCTGTTACATATGGAATATCCCCAGCCCAAGCTACCAACATGAAGGAATATCACGGGAATATAACCTAATTTCTGGTAAACTAAAGGTTTACATAACTTTGGAAAACCCCCCTTTCTAATGGGTAAATCAACTATTTCTATGGACATTTTCCATAGCTATGTTAAGTTACCAGAGGGTATCAATGATGGGAATGGGATTTAAGGCCACAGATTACCAGCCGCCTCACCCCTTCTGATGGATTCACCCCTACCGATGGTGAATTCCTCGGGATTTTTTTGCGCCAAATGTCCCCTATCTGATCATCTCATCGTGTTTGCTGTTAGCATCCCAAAATTTCACAACGATGGCTGGTTAGTTCATGGCCCAATCCATCACATTCATGGCGAAATCCCCAGTGTTGCTATTTTGGGTTGAATGTTCCCAAAAGAATCTCCTCGGTGATCCCCAGTGCAGCCCAGGCGGCTGTTCCGTGCTCAACCCTAGACCCTTGGCTGCCTGCAGGGGGACGCGCTTGTTCCAACGCCCTTATCTTATGTTTAAAAAAAAAATCCAATTGGGGAGATCATTGAAGTTTTAATCATTGTGACATGATTTGTCCCTAAATGATGTGTTGAATGTTTAAATGGATGTGCAACCATGGTTTTCATGACAGATCTTGGGTACGTCATGGCGAATCTTGATTTAAATAGAAGGGCACCCTGAAACGAGATGATCGAGAAAGATGTAGGGTAACTAAACATGTACAACATTCTCTTAATATACATGTTACATGCATATATATATATATATAATACATGTTCAATCTTTGCGGGTTGCTATGCGTTTCATAGTCATACAATGCCATACAAATAGCTAGTGGATGGTATGGGAAAACCGCCTCGACGAGCTTCGTGAGGCCCGGCTCCTTCGCAGACGGCAATTATCCCATGGTTTTCTCGTGGGGTATAGCCGATATAGCCTCCGGTGTCATCAAACATAAATGAAAATCCACTGTTAAGGTGTTAATGAGAAAATCAAGTATGAAATGAATATCAATAAATGATGGAAAATTGTCATTGCCATGTTTGATTACCAGAGGTAGCCACCAAAAATGGGTCGTTTTTGAAGTTCGTGCCATAAAACTTCTACAAATGATGATCAATGACAAATTTAGGGATATTCATCGATATTCGGAGTGGACAGTGTAGAAAATTTCTTTGGCACAAGGCCTTGTACCCTCCGGTTGCGCTGAAAAATGGGTCTGGTTTCACTGGATTCACTAGTTAGATCCAAATCTACCTAGCTGTGCTGAGTTATGTGAACCCCAACTTGGCGATTCCGGGGCACCGCCTTGGACTGGTTTGTCTGAACATCGGCATTCAGAATGATTAAACAGCATTCTCCAGCCTCATGATGGTGAGGCTAAGGCTTCGAATCCATTCGAAATGTGCGTCCGAACGAAACTTGAGATGAACATCCATTATCTTCCAACTCTGCACTTCAATTTGTTTCGGCCAGTTCATAAATGGTCAGTAACCATGGTGTGACTGATAATCCAACTTCTAACAATCTTCTTATATGGATCATTTTCCACTCAACTGGGACACACACGATATACATTCAAGTGCCCTTCATTTTCAGCAATCCTGCGCTTAAGTCTGTTTCACTCTCAACCCCTCGTGGGCCGAGGTGTTCTTTACATAGCACCTGCGCCCTCCCAGTGGGAACAGGACGCATAGAGCGGCGCAACAAAACCAGGTTCAAACTTTGCCAGCAAAGTCCATGGATGATAGATGCCACGAAATTCCAGGTCCGGTCACCACTGCAGACCATACCCGGTAAACTAACAGAGCTATTGAAAATTGCAATTTATGGTTGATTTACCACGATTTACTTAATAAAAATTGGATAAAATATGGATTTTCCATAGTTATGTTAGTTTATCAGATATTTCGAGGCTCCATTTCAGGGATTCTCTTCTTCAAGCCACCAGTGAGAAAAGGGCATCTATGGTGATCATCATGTTCTTAATCTAAGACGGCTAAGAACTCCTTGGCAGCAAGTCAAGAAATACGTAGCAGGACACAAAAACATCAAACGGGCGAAAAGAAACACGCTTCAGGAACCCTTGCAGATCAGGGGTTGGTAACTGTCCCATTTTGGGAATATTGGACATCACCTTATAGTAGCCATTATAGACCATATACCTAATGGTTGGGTGATGTTCAATGGGGACATTTAATGACCCTTGCAGATCCTTGCAGCACTTCGTGAAACAAAAAATGGGAGAATTCTGGACCACATGGACTTAGCAGAGCGGTTTACCATGACTCTTCCCAGCATGTGAGTGGCAGGGTGGGAGCGAACATTCCAACATGGTCTGCTTCACTTGTTGTGGTGCTATGTGGGGGCTATTCGCCATTGCTACCAGGCTTCATGGCCAATCTATGCCAATCTTAGATCCCGGCAAAAAAAAAAATCTCAGCTGGTTAGTAGATAATCCCATTGATACCAAAAGACTAAAGGACTAGTTTCTACCCATCCAATATTGACCTAGGTTTTTCTGACCTGTTTTTCGCCACAGCCATCAGGGTCAATCTGCCATCCATGGATTGAAGAAACCAAAACGGCCCTCCACGCCAATTCGGGGATCGTTTTGCCACAAAACTCCGAAGATTTTCCAGCCCAAACTGGAAATCGGCCACGCGTAAAAGGAAAGAAGTCCAAACTGTACAACTTTGCGCCGTCGCAGCGGCCAAGGATGTTTCTGCCTTTGGAACTCCCAAAAAATCATATATTTCAAAAAAACATGCGCTTCCAAAAGATGCCTATAGTGAGAATCAATAGCACCAACTCATTCGGGTCTTCTGGTTGTTTGAACAACCCGTTTCACAACAACGACCTATTTCAGTTCATGAACAGGCTCCGAACGCAAAAGCATCGACCCAAAATCGACCTGCCGCTCCGCAACAACACTTACCGTTGAAGGGAGCTGCCAGGTGTGTAAAAAAACACATCACTTCGACCTGTCGGACCTGGCGGCCAGGCTTGTCCGCTCAATTCCTGTCCTTGAGTTGCTGTAACCTTAGTTGATGATGTGGGATACCCTCTGGTAATTTGTTACGTAGCTATTGAAAATATGCATTTATAGTGAGTTTTCCCATTAAAAATGGTGATTTTCCATAGCTATGTTAAATTACCAGAGGGTATGTGGGGGATGTGGCTCTGTCTGGAGAATCGTCCGGATCAAGTTGAGCACCGCTTCAAGTGGAGTCTCAGCCCTGGGGGAAAATAAATAGGCTTCATTTCCAGCCGGTCTAAGGTGATAAACCCTAATTTGGGATGGGTTATTGATGGGTTTACCGGTGTACCACATTACTTCATATGATGTTGTTTGAGGGGATCGGTTTCAAGTTTCTGAGAGGGTCTAGTTCTAGCATGTATCAAATACATTGCCAACCTTAGCTGCCCGGCAAAAAAAAAAACATCGCAGCAGAATGGTTTATATACCTCAAGCATCCCCAAGCAACCCGGAAGAAAAACCGCAATTAAACTACCAAGATTTACCCAGCATATACCTGGATAAAGTTATCTGGTTGGTGGTATACCTACCCATCTGAAAAATATGAGTTCGTCAGTTGGGATGATGACATTCTCAATTAATATGGAAAGTCATAAAATTCCATGGTTCCAAACCACCCAGCAGTTAAGTAATTTCACTGGTTCTGAAGGGGCTCGGCCACTGGTTCTGATTCCGTGATTTCCCCCCACGACAATTCACATCATTCCAGCGACATCTCGACGTGAGGTCGATATCGACCAGCCCGAAGCCACACTGCATGTCCAGCCATCAATGGCTATTTCAGGTACCCAAACTGGAGATACTGTACCAGATAAATCCATATAAAACATTATAAAGTTAATAAAACCATATATTTCAGGTGAGATTCCCTGAAAATTCACCCTAGGCGTAAAAAAAAAGGATGTTAAGTATGTTAAGTCCACTAATCCCGGGGCTCACCCAATGCCCAGCGGCTACCAAAGGATGGCTGGTAGAAAATCGGACCGCCGACAAACTGTGTGGAAGTGATGCCTACCCCGCATCCCATCCCAGGTGTCCGTCCCACAGCCGCTGGGGGGGCTTCCAAGTGCTGAGAGTTATTCTTAAGTTATGAAAGTGTTGGATTTATTTGGACTTATTCTACATATGTATGTGCATATATATATATATATATATGCAGTATATTATATATAGTTACTAGTTGACATTAATCAATGGGGTTTACAAACCAACAGGCAATTTCCTGCAAAACTGGGGCACCACTCATTGACAATCCTAGGTGGATTTCGGACACCTTCCGGGCCCTTCAAACAGGGCAATGGAGAATCCCTTATCAGCGAGGTTTTAAGATGTACAAAATGGGGAACTTATAAAATGGTGGTTTTTGTATTGCCATCTCTCATAGAGGGCATCTATTTTGGGAGCAATGTGGCTGCACCGTCACAAATAAGGCCACCCACTTGGGTGGTTGAGGGACCTCCATGGAGTCGAAGTAGTTCTGAGCCCTCTCTCTACACATGTGTATATATATATATAAGCTTATATTGTGATCATCATTTTGACCATTCGAGATTCACAAATTCACACAATCTCAGCGTATTGTATTCTACTCTCATCTCATGATTAGTATACTAATGTGGGTAAAACTGGCTGCCATGTTTACCATCCCCCAGAACAATCACCATTTTCAAAAAGGTTGTGTGAAAATCCCATTCCCAGTCATGGATGGTTACGGTAAACATGGCATTGTTTTAACAACATAAGTCCGTTTATAGATTGGTTTATAAACCCTATGAACTATCGTTTTACACCTACCATAAACCATAGAATTCAGCCACTTATACCATAGATAGCATAAACCATAAACCATTCCCTAACCAAAGTTGAGCAACTATACCAGCTATTCCCAGTCATGCATGGTAAAAATTGCATTGTTTTTATAGATGGCAAAAACCATATAAACCATTCCCTTTTACCCCCTTTACTTCGAAACCACTGGAATCACACGAGATTCACCCAAGCCCAGGACCCACGCCTCCTGAGGTCCACCACGCATCCTCCAAAGCGCTTCCAATCCTTGCGCCCAAAGAAGATCCAGATTGGTAGAATTTTTGAATATCTATATATATATATATATATATCGATATATATATATATATACCGACAGCAAATACTACCGCTTAACTATAATATATATATATATATATGTATCCCTCTGTCAGATGTATATATCCAATCATCATCAATCCCAATGAAAATTATTCTCAAGATTGTCAATCCTTCTGGGATAAGGATCATGTTTTGGACCTGTCCAGCGATCTCATCCAAAGACTCATCGGATAATCCCTTCAAGTGCCATTCAATCCGGAAAACAACACACGTAAATCATTCTGAAATTCCTTCAACATGTTTCTTCTATGGCAACCATCTGGAAATTCTATGTTCCTATAGGTGATGGAAATTCTATGTTCCATCTGGAAGTTCTATATATAATCTTCTATAAGTCTATATTCCATATAATTTATACCATGCTTTTCTACGGCAACCAAGAGTCATCGGCCGCATGGTCAGCTCTTCTTCCTCCGTCTGGCTGCGAAACGCGGTCGCGGCGCCGGAACCGCTCTCCAACTCGCAGCTGCGCCTTACGGCATCAACATCGGTGTCAAGGGATGGGTTTTTCCCATGGAAACAGTGAGGAAACAGTGAGGAAACCATGGTATTTCCTATGGATTTTATGGGAAAATCTACAGGAAACCATGGTATTTCCCATGGAATATAGAGGAAACCATGGTATTTCCCATGGTTTTTATGGGAAAATCTATACCGGAAACCACGGTATTTCCCATGAAGATCATGGGGGGGTTCCTGTTAAAGTTTCCCTCAAGCCAACCCAATGACTGTGAGGTTGATGTGATGTTCTATGGATGTTAAAGGCTGGCACCACGTGGCAAGTGAACAAATTAGCCGCGAATATCGCCAAACAAATCATCCGGGACCATGGTTGACCTAGATTCCTAGATATGTCATGAAAGTGACAACAATAACTGGTTGGTGGTATACCTACCCCTCTTAAAAATATAAGTTCGTCAGTTGGGATTATGAAATGCCCAACTGAATGGAGAAAAAACAAGTTTTCCAAACCACCAACCAGATGATGATGTCCTGTCGTGTTTCGTGTAGGCATCTTCCATCAATCTACAGCGGGCCAATTGATAGGTGCCTTTAGATGTGCCTAGTTTTTAGGACAATTCTCAGAATCCAATTGCTAATCTACAGGTTTTCTAGTTGTTTGACCCAGTTACAGAATACCCACCCCCCCCCAAAAAAAAAACTTTACTGGCTACTGGGGGATTTACGTCTATTTGGGGGACCATCTAGATCCATTTAGGGGGTGTTCAATATTAGGGGAATTGGATTATAAACAAAAAAAAGATCCTGCTTTTTAAATGAAAATTGCTAATCTATGACTATTATAGTTGTAGAATACCCACTTACCCTCTGGTTATTTAACATAGCCATGGAAAATCACCATTTTTAAGTTCGGCAAACCATCTATTTCTATGGGCCATCTATACCATGGCGAACTGTTAGTCATAACCAGATGGTATAAGTTCTACAAGGTGGTGCCCCATAGTTAGCTAACTTGGTTTATAAGTCCAATAACTAGGGTTTATGGGGGTTATATCTATAGTTAATGGGGATTATAAACCAACTTATAACTGGGGGGGCACCACCTTGTAGAATGCCCACAAGAGAGATCCTCGGGATCCTGCTCCACCGCATTCTTGGCCGCGGCACTTGGTGCGTCCCGTGGTCTGTTCGGTCGAGATCCCGGAGATTCCGCTGCCCATGGCGAGGGAAAGTGGAGCTTTGTGGAGGTACCGCTCGGAGCGTTCGGCTTGAGCCTCGAGATATGCTGCCGGGGTGAAGGAGCGTAGAGCCAAGAGTTGCGAACTGGAAAATCACCATTTTTAGTAGGGAAATCAACATAAATCCATTATAGATGGGCAAGTTTCATCCATTTTCAATAGCCATGTTAGTTTGCCAGAGGGTAGTCAATGGGAATTTCAGGAGCCACTCAAGAAGAGATGCACCATATAAAACCATATTCCATTGCCATGGCCCTTACATAGGCCTTATGTATGGTATGTACCTCCATTTTAGATACCTGAAATGGTCATTGATATTAAGTTACCAAACAAAATACAGCTGCTTGGGGGTGCCTCCCAGCTAGGTAAGTGGGTTATAACCATATTATACCGCAGCTATACATGGGATATATCCAATTATATAGGGGTTATAGACCAGTTACTAAATGGGATGCACATCCAAGTAGTATCTTCTAGTGATTTACTACTCCATATTTGAATTGGAGTTGAGTTCTCTATCTTTTTAGGGGTTGCTCTACAATTTTCAATGCACTGATCTAAGAGGTCTACGAGATCTAAGAGATCTAAAACCAACGAAAATCCACCAAACCCACTAAAATCTACTAAAACTCCTCAGTTTTATCCATGAAAATCAGCCAATCATCTGTAATCTGGATGAACTTTTCATCAAACCCACCACAAGCTTCCGACCTCCGCTTGGAGGATCATCCCATTAACTGCTTAATCACCCTGATCAGTAAGTCCCATTTCGCGGGTGATCTTAAACATAAATGGGTCAAGAACTTTGGATACTAACCAGTTACATCCAGTTACATCATGTTACATCCAGTTGCTATGTGTTTCTATTTGTCTCTATTTGTCTCATGTTATCTCCCCAGTTTTGTTTCATTTCCAGAAATTGGGGTACCCCTAAATCATCATCCCTTTTAATGGCATTTTCTATTATACCATCTGGTTGTTTAACGTAGCTATGCGAAATCACCATGCTATTAATAGGTAAATCCTCATAAATCATCTATTTCTATGGGCCATGGCTTCCATTCATAGCTACGTTCAATAACCAAGGGTAAACCATCCAGCGAGCTCTAGGGGGTATCCCCAGTGCTGGAAACCAACGATCCGTGCGATGGTCCATCCCCTGGACCGGATCTTCGTCCTGCACCGTGGCCGAGGCCGAGACGGCCGAGCCAGCCGCAGCCTGCGCAGCCTGGCCACTGGAGGAGCATCCCGGGAAGTAGCTGCGATGTTTTTCCTTAAAAAAAACTATGATTTAATGGGAGTTAAGCATCAAGAATTTGGATTTAGTGGGATTTAAAGCATCCAAAAGTGGAAATTAGTTGGATTCGACAATCAAAAATTTGGATTTTATGGTATAGACATGGCATAAAAACCAGCAAAAAATATAATAAATACGTTTTTAATATATTGGGATTGGTCAAAACCATGTAATTACTCGGGTGAACGCCACAATAGTTGGTAAATGGACATGGTATCATGCGCGTATCCCTGAACACCATAACTACATCACACTGAATCATACGTGATATATCTACATACATAAACTATCAAGCTGTGTGGCCACTCTTAGTAGCTCCTTGGCTCTCCATACTGGAATTGTTGGGAAGATGGGACTGACTTAGAAAAATCATCATTGTGATATTCCATCTGCTTCAAGATGCTTACATCTTATTGCATACATCCCATAAGATCCGAACCTAAAATCTTGATTCGAATAAAACCCCAAGACCAAGCCCCTCTGCCGTTCCGCTCCGCACCGGCGATGCTGCCACCACTGCCGTGGCTGCCACCGACGCTTGCTGTTCCTCGCTCATTCCTGGCGCGGCAAAGAGCAAGCCTCTACAATTCGATTTGTTTTGGTATCTATAGTTAGTTATTTGTTGCAAAAGTTATGTATTCCGTTATTTAAATCAATTACTTATAACAAATTCTTGTTCATAATTGTTATATACATCGTTACAACCATGTTGCGGCCATATCATAATTATATATTATGATGCCCCATAGGATCCATGGTGCTGGTATATATGCTAACATTTGAGGTATATTGATGGGATCCATGCTACCATATATATATATATATATAGCAGCACCATGGATCCTATGGGTGCTATAGGATTATGATCTTACAATAGGATTAATATATGTGTGGTATTATAGCCCATCATACTATATCATAATCATAGCATAATAATATAGGATTAATCTGCGGCCATGTTACGACTATAGACTATAGGATTATGATCTTACAATACCACACATACTTGACTTTTAATGGGACATGTTTATCCACCAGCCAGTCAACCAATTTTTTGGCCTAAGTACACGTCCACAGAAACCCTGAGATTTCTCTGGCGCGGTCTTCCGCATATGAGAATGCATTAAAGTGGAGATATATGACATTAACTCCCGTACAATTTATATGCTTTATATACGATTTATCAGATTTATATGCGATTTATATGCGATTTTTACACGAGTTATATAATTGACTATGTGATGTATTTGATTTATATGCCGCAATGTCTCACTTCCATCTCCCATCACTGCGGGTCCCTTTAAATTCCATGTCTGGGTGCCTACACCCAACATGCGAAAAATTGAAGATTAACTTACTACTTGCCCTAGCTTTATCCAAGCAGTTCCAAAGTTTTGCATGGTAATCCACCCATTTGTTGGCGTAAAAACTCCGTGTTTGCTGGGGAACCTACCACCCACCCTGTGGTTTACACAGTCCATAGTACAGAATTGGATGAAGGGCAGATTCACAGGAAACATACCGAAAATCCGATGTGCTAATGGCGAAAACAGAAATCATCACGGGTTTCCTCTCCAGTGTAGCTTCATACAACCCAATGATCCCCACTTTGGCCCTGGCAAATCATGGTAAATCTGTATCTACATATCTTCGTCTGCACACACATACACATGTCCGTATACACATTATATACATACAATTATAAGGCCTAGGGGATCGCACATTCTGTTCATTTTGAATTTTAACCACCCAATTGTTCGGGCATCTAATTCCCAACAGCAGTGACAAGGTCTGGAGTGGGTGCGCGGTTTTTGTTGTCGGCCCCGAAAATCGGAACGGAACCCTGGAACCTGCTTTTGGCTTGCAAAGCTGGGTAAATTTAGACCCATATGAATGACTCAAGTGAGAAGATGTTCCATGTAACAGTGGTCTCAATCTAAAAGTTCGACTAGAATAAAACTGAAAGTAAAGACTAGCTGCAAAATGCCGAAGGTGAAAGCCAACCCAATGATTTCCCCAGTTCTATAGCCTCAACATTTCACTCCCCATCCCGTCCTGCTGCTGCGGCTGCTTTCACCACCCCCGACACTTTCTCCACCGTGTCCGCCGCCGCAGGGCCGCGAGTGGTCCTCAGCTGCTATGGTTAGGATGGCCTGCGGGGTGGGGGATAACCATGATCAATGCCAGAGCATCATCCCACTTAGTAAGTGGTAAGTCTTCATTTTGTGGGGTTATCTCATTTTATGGTTACTAACCAGATACGATCTGTGGGATACTCCTCCAAGCACTTCTGCAGCTAAGTTGGCCTAGTTAATTCTGCTTCATGGTAGATATATTTATATAAAGCTACCGGGGATACTGACTTAAAACTGGGGGGGCACCTTGTGTTGAACACAGCCCACATGCTAAACTGGAACCCCCAACAAGAGGCCTAAAAGTGTTTCTAGGTGTAATTTAAAGATTACATTTACTTCATATTTCTGGGAAAATCTAATTATGGTTGAAATAATAGTTTTAACCCCCCAGTAGTAAAATATAGGGGATTCACCCAATTCTGGGCAACGAGGTGATGGGCGCAGAAAAAACAACAACATCACACAAGATGGTGCCCCGAGTAATGTTAGTTAAGTTGATTCATCATTCACAACAATATAATCATAAGTTGGGTTCATGGTAGGTACTGTATATCATATCTCTATCTGGTTGGTGGTTTCAACCCCTGTGAAAAAGATTGAAAAAGATGAAAGTCAGTTGGAATAATCCCAATATATGGAAAAATAAAATGCATGTTCCAAACCACCACTTTTTTGTACCGCTTTGTGTATCGCACTGTCTTGGGTTGGGAAGACAGTGCTTTGACTGTGGTGACTCTACGGTCAAGACGGCAGCAAAGCCTGAACCGGACCTGGAGACGATGTCTCTCCAAGCCAACAAACATTGAAAAAGATCAACAGCGTAAACAACCAAGACCTGACACAGTGGCAGGCCCCGACGGAAAAGGCAGTTGACACAAACCCCAAAAACTGGTAGAAGGGCATCAGAGCAGCAAGTACCCACACGGCACAACAAGACCCCATCATCATCATACCACTGTGAGGGCCATGCAGTTCAGGCCCACCCCCACATTCACCATCATCTCTCAGTCGCTTCCGCAACAAGCCACGTATATGAGAAAGCTGATTCTCAAACATAGCCTGGATGCACTGATACTGGGTCTCACTTTGTCCGTAAAAGTGTTGAGACGGGGCCTGCATCAGGGCCTGTAGATTCGAAACTTGTTGAGACTGATGGTGGGTGAACTCCAGAAACTGCCCGTCAATCTGTGTTTGGTTCTGCATCAACGGTTGTACTTGACCAAAAGCAGAGAGCTCAAGGGTGATGTTCTCCTTCACAAATCCAGACCAGTCGACAAACCTATCAAGGTGTTGTGAGACGAACGGATCTCTGCATGCAGGGACAACGCATGAAAGCACCAAACCATGAACACGCTGAGACGGTGCAGCTCTAAGGTTGTTCGGAAGGGACATAGCACAAGGGTCTGCCCCTCCTTTCCGATCACCAAACTGGGAAAACGGCTGACATGAAAATCCCACACTCTTCACCGCAGCATGATTACACGTGGACCACACTCCAGCGATCACCTGGGGACAGCCAGCATCACCGATCACATACTCACATCCTCCATGAACCTTGTGTAAGGTCACCATACGGGCACTAGAGTCAACAGCAACCATGGTTTGCACACCAACGGCATGGGCCCCATGTGTAGGACCATCAAACCCGCAGCAAGCATCGACCAGTTTGAAGAAGTCCTCCCAGGTATGCAGTGAGTGAAACAACACCTTAGTACCATCATCCACCTTCAGCAACGGAATAGAGACTTGCTGCACCAGGACAACATCCAGCAGAGTGAGCACTTCAGGAGCTCCATCCAAGAGGCCAGTAAGCACCAGACCAGTCCCATCACGGACAGAGGACCAAGTGGCGCACATGCACAGGATCAAAGACCACCATGACCACATCAAAGAGCTACCTCCAGCGTCAACTTCAGCAAGATCCATGACGATCCATGGCACAACACGGTGAACGAAACGCTCTACGATCAGCAGGGCACGGCCGCACCTGCTGGTAGGTGTAGAGCCCACGGCTTGTTCCAAACCACCAACCAGATATTCAATCTTATTATAAATGATTACAGTACTATAAATGATTGTTAAATCACCATTAACCCAGCATGTCATCAACCCACATGATTCGGGCGCACCACCTTTTATAGAAAGCGCCACTACGGAAAGGCAAGGGAAATTTGGCAAAATGGCAAGGTTCCAGATATAGCATCACCAATCATAATCAACTTCCAGGCAATATAGTCAACCAGCAGTTGAATGAATGCCTTAAACCGAGCAACAGGAGAACCCCTGATTGAACAAGTCAAAACATCCCAAAAACCACTCAAAGTTGGCTGGTGCGGGTCTCACCACCTGAGCCCCAAAGGCTTGGTTCCTCAGTTGGGGTCATCTTTCCTCCGTGGCTCAAGCAACAAAGCTCGCTACAATTTTCTGAGCGGCGCGGGCGGTGTCACTTGAAGAGCGAAATGCTCATTTCGCAGATATGATCAGAATATATCAGAATATATTTCGCAGCGAAATGCCTGGCCCATCCCCATTTTTTCATCTTAATTTAAGCCTGGAAAGGCCTTGAAAGGGGGCACAAGGCCTCCCATTCTGTTCGAACGGGGATCACAATATGAGTTAGTATATGGTACGACAATATAAGTACGAAAAAACCTATTCCCTGCCATGAAGACCACCATCAGGAGAAGAACGATAACATCTGGATGCGGTGCATTTCGGTAGGCAGAATTGCGTCTTACAAATGAAGGAAAGCGATGCCTGATTTGACTTCTGAAGCAAGTCCATGCAAAACGTCCCACTGCAACACTTGACCAGCCCATGGCCCAGAACAATAAATTAAGTAATAAAGAAGCTAAACGACCAGCTAACGGTTCGAGATCGAGTAGACCCGAGCTCTCTTTGCTGAATAAATGCCAGCCGACGTCCATGAAGACCATTGAAATGAAGAACGGAAACAGAACCTTCGCAGCTTTCTCTATTGGTCCGGGCACGGCATGAGATTCGACATTTGGTGTCACAAGTGGTATTTGCAGTGGTGTGTCCATGAGAAGGGCTCGAGGATCAGCGCTTCGAGACAACATCTCTCTCCTTTGCCTTCTCAAGGAGCTCAGCAGAGCCAAAGGCGAGTACGGTACAAATCCGCAAAGCGACAACATCTGGTCTGCTCGGTTTCTTGCATTTTGGGCCAGCCATCGCCAGCCTTGGCAACAAATTCGTGAGAGAATTCCCCCCACGAAAAGAAATGCCCAAGCAAAAGGTCCAATCCCACTGCTTCCAAGAACAAAGTTAAACTTTGTCGTCCAAGTAAAACCATGACTTTACTTAAAGACAATCATTGACTGCTGATATATATATATATATATGTTATATATATATTATATTATTATATTATTAATTCCCAGGATCCAAGGATCCATCCAACCCAGCTGCAGCCTGAGCCGCTCAATTGGCCATCGTTGGCCGAACATCCACCATTGTGCTGATCATGCACATGTGCGCCCACCCAGCGGACAAACGGGCCGGTGTTTTTTCTATCTCATCTCCCTCCGTTTGTTGATCTTGTTTAATTTGTTGATGTGAAACTTCATTGCAACCAATCTAACGGGTGCCTTTTTGGCAATGGACTGGGCAAGATTGCGTCTATCAGATAACTGGCAAAGTCCTCGGACAGGAAATGGGTATTTGGGGTGATGGGGGAAAATATGGGAAAAGGCAATGCATTTGATACAAAAACACGTTTCCAACGTGATCATGATCAGCTAAGTGGCGCTTACACCACTTCATCTGATCCTCATCGATAAAGGTGTGCTCCATTCTGATGTTGTACCCTGGGCCCCAGGGCTGTTGGATATGATATGATATGATGTTCATGCACACTAGCGATCAAAATCCTGTTGTGGGTCTCTTTGATTTTTTTATTTAGCGCCAGGGTTCCCATGATCTAATAACCATAATCATCCCCATTAAAATCCCCAATTATATCAACACTGTCGTGTTGCCAAGAAACGTCGCGCTTTGCAATCTCGAAGCTGGTGGTGCACCATCTTAGATCCATGCACGGACGCACAAACGTTAACACACAAAAAAAAACGCGCTTGGACAAAATTAGATGTACAGCGGATTCAATCTACTTTGTTTTATTTTTGTGATGCCAAGTTGCACGGATTTTCGGCCGAGATATCCAAAACATCAGGTTGTGCCTGCAGGGCAGTAAAAGACCCACCAATTTTTACCTGATTCTCAAAACCTGTGGGTCCCCGCCTCTGGGATAGAAATGTCAGGAACCGATGAGTCCGTAAGAACATCATCCCATGGGAGTAAATCAGATCTGCTTGTTGTTCGGTCCTTGGGTTCGCTAGTAAAAAAATCCGATTTTCAAAACATGCACATTGGATTTGTGATCCAATATCCATTGGCCAAACCGAGTCACAGGTATCTCCCAGATGACTCCATTGTCAAAAACATCCGGTTGAGTGCATCCCTGAGCTTGGGAATGGTGGAAGATGGTGGAAAGGCATGAGGGTAAAATGTAAAAGTTGGGACCATAATTTTTGTCGATATCGATATACCATGGAAAGAATTTGGCAAAGCTTTGTCATATTGCATAATCCAAATGTCAAACAGATAGCTGACGGTTCCAGCATTTCATGCATGGGCCAAGTCATGTTGTTGGCATTCACTTGGGATTGGATCCAAGCCCCAACAAATCGATCTGCAGGGATATCCCTTTTCACCACAATGGCCAAGCAATCTGCAAGCCATCCCAAGATACATCTGTTGTTGTACCCTTTGGCGTTCATGTAGGCACCACCAGTTTGTGACCATACCTGATCAGATATGATTTCAGGGATGCATTATAAGTAGTGTCAAACATCTTGATGTAAATTCCTGA